TACTACTACTACTACGACTACTACTACTACTACTACTACTACTACTACTACTACTACTACTACTACTGCTACTGCGACTACAACAACAACTACTACTACTACTACTACTACTACTACTACTACAACTACTACTGCTACTACTACTACTACTACTACTACTACTACTACTGCGACGGGGCTGCTCCGACACCTCAGCCACCGCCATCGGGCGCCCCACCTCCGTTGCGACCTCCTCCGCACCTGGCGGTCAATGCCCGCGCTCGCACCCACGGTGACGCCGTCCATCGCGGCCGCCAGCGCATCGGTTTCCACGCGGGGCTCTACCTGCTTCCCTGGAGCTTCAGCTTTTAGCCCTGGCCTCCGCTTTAGCCTTGGCCTCGGCGCCGAGAGCCTCGCGCAGCGGCGCGGGGTTGTTGCTCGAGGGGGTGGGGCGAGACGTCGCTGGCTAGGGCGTCGCCGCGGGCCTCGAGAACTTCGGCGCAATGGTGTCGCAAAGCCGCTCGACCCAAACAGCTGCGGGCGAGATGGGGGAGAGTAGAAAGGCTGCGCCCCCAGCTGACAAGGGGCGGCCGATCCCCTTCAGGCCCCGTTCGGAGCGAGCGCAGAGAGCAATTGAAAGAGAAGGGGGAGACAACCACGTCACGGGCAATCGCCAACTTCGATGGCGAGCTGCAGCGCGCCCCAAGACCCACGGGGCCACCCCGAACCTGGCCGCCACACTCCGACTCTTGACACTGGCTGAGCGGGCCCCTGGCACGCCGTGCATCCGATGGGCCAGGCCTACAGTGGATAGCACCATGGCTGGAATGCCTCGGGCAAGACGGTTTGTTTTTTTCCGCCGCGCGCGAGCGAGGCCCAAGTCGGTCAGGGCGCAAAAAGTGAGGAGACATCCGCGAAAGCAAGCAAAGCGGCGCAGCCAGGGCCCACGACGGCGATCGACGCCGAGAGCGGGGAAGGGGGGCGGGGATGGGCGCGGAACCTAGTCGATGCCGAGCGCGCGGGGCTGCCCCGACGCCCGGCCTGATGTCCTCTACGGCGAGAGCGATTTGCTCGGCCACCTGGCCTTGCAAGGCCCGAGCGACCGAGGAGCGAAGAGAACGCCTGGCGGCGCGGCGCTCCCCCTCAGGAAATTCACCGATCGCGCGACTCTGCCAGGTCTCGGCCTCGGCGCCCCATTTATCGTTGACGTCCAGGACGTAGGGCGCGAGCCCCTGGAATGGGTATCTGCGATGCTTCAATTTTTCCCTGCGCTGCAGGGCCGCCTCATGGGGCCCGCCCAGCTGCGCGACCGCCACGGAGTCCACCAGGCCGATGTCGAGGCACGCGCGCCCGTGCAGGCCGCGGCGGTGCACGACGCCCAGTGTCGCGGCACCGTCCGCCTCCGTGTGCCTCTCTTGGATGACCTGCACCACTTGCGCGGGGTGGCCCATCTCGCGCAGCCAGGGCGCCACGGCGTCGCGGGCGGCATGATGGCGCCGCGCCGGGCCGCCGCCCCTGGGGCAGTTCAGCGCGCGCGCGTAGTGGACATCCACATTGCGTCCGCTGACGGTGTGTGTCTTTTGGCCCGCGCCCGCCCTGCCTCCCAGGAGACCTTGCCGGCGGTCCGCCCGGGGCGCGCGCCCCCCAGTCAGGCGAGCCTGCGTGGCCTCGGCCGCCGAGGGGGCTCGCCCCAGGCCTGGCCAGCGGCGCCAAAGGCCCACCGCCGTCGTTCCCCGCTGCTCTGCAACGGCTGCGCGGACGCCTGACTCTCAGGAGGCGCGGAGGGCCGCCGGCCCGCGCGCAGCCGCGCTTCCGAATCCGAACCCGCCACCGCTGACTTTCATGAAGACTCGGGGCCGCGGGGCCTCGGCGACGCATAGCAGCCCGCAGAAGAAGGCGACTACTCCGTCATCTGCCCCGTTGGCCCAAGCCTCCGCGAGCGGAAGTGCGCGCTGCGCGCGGGCGCAGGCCCCGCGCGACCAGATCCGCCCCAGGTGGAACGCGTCGAGGGCAGACAGGCCGTGTTCGTGGAGCATGAGCTGCTCCGGAAAGTAGCGGCCCAGCTTGGCCAGGAACGCGTCTCCGCACGGCAGCGGCGCGTCGGCGCCCAGGGCTGCCCCAGCGCCGACGGCCGCCGCCTCCTCGGCGAGGCCCTCTGGAGTCACGAAGTCCGCCAGGGGGGCATCCCGCCAGCTTGTCTACGCGGTACTGACCGTAGTGGGCGCACTGGGGCGGTAGCGCGGCCAGTGAACCCGGGGGCCAGATCTGCCTCTAAGCATCTTCAACTTCATGCCATGATGCTCGATGCGCGCCTGGCATGCCTCCAGGCCGTGGAAAATCGCTCCCGCCGAGCCGACGAAGTACGTGTTAACGCCAGGCAGTCTCCCTGCGGATCAACGGTCCGAACCGAGGCCCGACCTAGACGCAGGTCGTCCGCGGTGCCAACCGCGTAGAAGCCAGGGCTCATGGGGCATCCCTGATCAAGCCCACGGATCTGGGCAACCAGCCGGGCTGGCTGTGC